AGTACCAATAGCACCTAATACCTCATTCAAACTTGTACCAATCCTTAAAACACCTCAAACAACGTCGGAAACTCGAATTAATCAATGATTTGAGCCTAAGGACTTCAAATTCCATCAAAATACATTTTCGACCAAAAACCTAACCAAAACACGTCCGAATGACCTGAAATTTTGCACACACGTCCCAAATGACATGACGGAGCTACTGCAACTTCCGGGATTCCATTCCGACCCTCAGATCAAAAACTCACTATCCGACAGGAAACTTCAAAAATTCAAACTTCGACATTCCAAGCCTAAATGAGCTACGGACTTCCAAAATACATTCCGGACAGGCACCCAACCCCGAAATCACCTAACGGAGCTAACGGAACCGTCGGATTTCCATTCCGAGGCCTTCTTCACATTGTTCTGACTACGGGCCACTTTCCAACACTTAAGCTCTCATTTAGGGACTAAGTGTCCCATAACTCTCCGAAACCCCACACCGGAAGTCCCGGCAAACAAAAATAGCAGAATAAACTTAGGGGAAGCAGTTAATAGGGGATCGAGGCGTGAATTCTAAAAACGACCGGTCGGGTCGTTACATCCTCCCACACTTAAACATTCGTTCGTCCTCGAACGAGCATAGAGAACATACTTGAAGTCTTCAAGTCACTGAGTGCGCACTTCACACATACACCCCAATCCACTTAAGCCTGACGACACCATCTCAACTGAAACTTAACTTTTCTAGCAATACCAATAGGCCTTCAAGCCAGAATTCTCACCTCCCATCCGTTTCCAAAAGACCCGATCCTAAATCCATATCCGGTATCAGTCTCAACCAGTTATTTCAATACAAGCCAACACACACAGGGTACAACCACACAACATGACACATCACCCATAGGCCCACAATATCATTTCTGATAGCAATACTTGCCTGAGATCAAATCCGTACCGGCCATAAGCCTCATATTCAACAGGAACTCTTTTCAAACCTCCACAACACTGGCAATGATACAATAAACACGAAAACCGCATAACAAAACACCCGAATAACCAAATCTCAGCCAACACCAATGGGTACACACCCCACAAGCTAAAACTCAAGAAGCATAGAACGGAAATGACTGAATATGAGAAAGGAAACACATATGGAACTAACAAACAAATCAAACTAGCACAGATTCTTCTAAAACACAAATCGACAAAACATCTAACAAGAAAGAATGAAAGCATATAAAAGACTCACAATGATCTTATACTGATATAACTTCTCACCGCAGTACACCACCCGGTCTCAACATATCAAATCACCTGAAATCACGAGGGTCCCGCCCTCATTACTGAATCATAAGTAGGGCACACATCAACCCATCTAGAGACTCTCACTAGATCAATTTCGTCTACAATTACAATACAGGCTGGCTCCCACACCGGTGGAGCATAGAAATCACAGCTCGTAACCAAGAATACTCAGAGATCACATTAAACCTACCGAAACAGACAACATGAATTTTCTACTAGCCTCATAACTCTCGACAACAGCTAGGAACGGATGATAGACACAGCTATCACTCATAGAACCTCCCAACAGAATAATCACGTAGACAGAGTACAATCATGAAATGCACTCATAAATGGAACAACAAATAAGGGAACTCACCCTGATAAGCAGAACTGTGGTGAACTACAGATAGTGCCCCTCTATAACAAACCGAATCCGTACCTGAATGTCATTCAACTGGCGCACCGGCCTCAAGCCTACTATATGAAACACATCAACGAGCCGGGCCTCCCCCTCTTGGGCACCCTCTACCTGCCGGAATACCTCGCTGGGACACACCGGTCCAAAGTCTGGGACAATCTCTCATCATGTGGCTAGTATCTCCACACTCAAAGCACCCTCTCTGCTGACGAGGCGGTGGGAACTGTGCGATGCGGGTACTCCGAGACCTATGAGCTCCTGAGTCACCATGCAAAGCTTGAAGCGCGAACTGAACTGGCTGACCCGCAAAACCTCTACCATGACGCACCCTGCCTCCAAAATAAGGACCAGTATATCTCACCAGCCTACGAGGCCTCCTCGCCTCCTTAAGCTCTCTCTCCTGATCTCGGCTGCTCTCTCCCTCATGACCCTGCCTGCCCTCTCTCTCTTTAGCATGCATACCCTCCATCCTCCTAGCAATATTCACCACCTGCTGATACGGAATATCCATCTCCAACTCATGGGCCATGCTGGACCTGATGCTAGGAATGAGCCCCTCAATGAACCGACGAACCTTCTCGCGAACAGTAGAAACCAAGGCTGAGGCGTGTCTAGCCAAACTGGTGTAACGGACAGCATACTCCGAGACGGTCATAGCACCCTGGCGCAAATGCTCAAACTCCGCGCGCCATGCATCCCTGAGGCTCTGAGGAACAAACTCTCTCAGAAACATATCTGAAAATTAGGTCCAAGTCAGTAAAGCTGCCTCGTCTGGGTTGTCTAACTCATAGGTGCGCCACCAATCATAGGCGGCTCCTCGAAGCTGAAAAGTAGTGAAAGAAACCCCGCTCGATCCAGAGATACCCATAGTACGGAGAATACGGTAACACTCATCAAGAAACCCCAAGGCATCGTCTGATGCTAATCCACTGAACACCGGAGGGTCATACTTCTTGAACCTCTCTAGTCTCATCTGCTCCTGCTCGGAAGCCGCTGCCATGCCCTCGGACTGAACTGGTGCCGCAGGCGGCGCAGGAATAATCTCTGGGACCTGCTCAACATGCGCTCGCTGCTCAGGAGTGCGGGCGGCGGGAGTCTGTGCTCCTCCCCCGGCCTGGGATGTGGCTGCAGCAAGAGGAAGCAATCCTGCTTGAGCCAAAGTGGTGTACATACTCATGAACTGTGCCAAAGTCTCCCGAACTGGAGTAGTAGTAGCAGTAGGCGTGTCAGGTGCCTAGGCTCCGGCTGGATCTGCTGGTGGTACCTCAGCGGCAGTTCGCGCAGGTGCTCTCGCTGCACCACGTGCGCGTCCTCGAACTCTACCCCGGCCCCGACCTCCGACGGCTGCAGCAGGGGGCGCGGGTGCCTGATCACCTCGGGTAGTACGTGTCCTCACCATCTGTGAGAGAGTAGAAGACAGAGGTTTAGGATTGTAAATGTCAAAATCTCGCACGACAGGGAAATCAAATGAAGTGGAATTTTCCTAACGGTTACATAGCCTCTCGCAGATAAGTACAGACGTCTCCGTACAGATCCACGAGACTCTAATAAACCGGCTTGTGATCTGTGACTCCTATGAACCTAGAGCTCTGATACCAACTTGTCACGATCCTAGTTCGCCCTCCGTGAACATGTCATGACGGCACCTAGTCCCTACGACTAGGTAAGCCTAACAATGCGGAAATAAAATAATTCCAATAAAACTGAACTAGTAAAATAAAATGTCTTAAGGTGCCGCTCGACACATGCCACAACAATTCTCAAGCTAAAACATCCCCAAAACCCGAAAACTCACAAATCATAAGCTAAGGGATACATAAGAGGCTCTGACTCAAGAATATCTATACAAAGGAGAAATACTGAAAGAGCTATACTTATTGCAGAAAGCTAGAAAGGGACTCCTCGGTCTGCGGACGTAACAGATATACCTCAAAGTCTCTACCGATACGCCTCCTTCCAAGGCTGACAGAACTGAGTGGGAGTACCTGTATCTGCACAACTAAAATGTCCAGAAGAGTAGCATGAGCACACCACGGCGGTGCCCAGTAAGTATCAAGACTAACCTCGGTGGAGTAGTGACGAGGAACAGTCAAGGCACCTACCAGTCAATAAACAGTATAATCATAGGAATAATGAAAAGGACATATAAATATGTAAAGACTGCATGAATGACCAAGAATGCTACAATTCACAATAAGGGAAAAATACAACAAGTAACAACGAGAATATAATAAATGAGGATAGGAAATGACGGCAGAATCACAATTCAAATCCTAAGGCCACAACACAGCAATGGGGAAAACAAGTCAATACTCATATCCTACAATGATGTTCACAAAGGTCTTATCCAACCCTTTCCACAATTTCACCAAGTCTCGGACAAACCACAACTCGCGAAGACCCAACATCTGAAATCTAACAACTGGCATCCTATGCCCCATCAATCTCATGGTCATACCGACAACTAACTGGCTAACTAGGGCCACTCTCACAAATATAATGGATAAACGAGGGCGTACCTCCACCCTTAGCAAAATCACGAGGAATTCACCTCTAATAGGGGTGTTCAGCTACGTGTATGCTTGTGCAAATGTTTCTAACAAAATTCTACCAGCTAGTAAACATGAAAAGGAGAACGGACCGCACGTGCGATGTTTCCTCATAACTTCCAAGCGATAAAGCTCATACCGGTAAGCAACCCACAATCACATTATTAAACAAATAGGAATGCCTCCACAGGCCGTCACAATTCTCCACAATCATCCCCTGACATAGCCCACCTTATTTCGNTGTCCCGGCAAACCAAAATAGCAGAAAAAACTTAGGGGAAGCAGTTAATAGGGGATCGAGGCGTGAATTCTAAAAACGACCGGTCGAGTCGTTACACCAGCGTTACCAATACACCCTATTCAGTATTATTCTTATACACCCTACCAAACGACACCTTAATTGAATTAAATATGAAGATTTGGTTGTCCTCTGCCTAATGTTTTATGCACTTGCTTCTATTTTGAACATCAAGAGAAACTACAACGGACAAGCATTTGCTTTCAACAGTTTTTCATCAAGACAATTACTATCTCTTCCATTTGTTTCTTCTCTAAATATGTATGGTAAAAAATGTTTTGTTACTCTATTGGACATGGAATAATCCTCAAACAGAAGATTGTAGTGATTGCTACTGAGAAATTGTTTCATATTGGTGAAGTCTAAATTTGGTTCCGTCCAGTTGATTATCTTTGTCTTTGACAGTTTTTGTTAGTTATATATAATGATGCACAATAGAAGAATGCATCTGGTGTATCTTATTATGTTCGGTTGCTTTAGGGAATACATGGGTTGGGAGGAAGAATGGGAACAAGAATGATTGATCATCAGCCTTTGATATTTGACCATGCAGCTCAGTTCTTCACGGTGACCAACCCGAAATTTGCCGAGCTAGTAGATGACTGGTTGAAGAGGGGTTTGGTTCGTGAATGGCAAGGTACAATTGGTGAGCTTGAAGTTGGTGGGCATTTTGTTCCATTTCCTTCTTCTCCTCCCAAGTATATAGGGGTCAATGGAATGCGCCCACTTGCGGATTCATTACTATCTCAGGTGCACCACCTTTTGTGTTATACTAAATATCTTTCTTCACATAATGCATCCATTCAACTAAGCCAAACATTCCCTTCAGTTCTGTTTGTTGAGAATGCATGCTTTGTATGATTAATGGAAGGAGAAATAATGTACTTATTCTTTTGGGTGCTATTTCCTCTCAATGTTATAAAAGTTTGATGTGTTTGGGCAGACTTCTTTGGTCAATGTGGTGCGCCCTTGTTGGGTAAGTACACTTGAACCATTTAACGGGACGTGGCACTTTAGTGAGAAGGAAAAGCCTTGTGGGCAGTTTGATGCAATTGTCATTGCACATAATGGTAATTATTTTCAGTTTTCTAGTGGTTTTGCCTTTTGGATAGTCTTTTACTTTGCAAGAATTAGCAAATTTTTAATATGCTAAATCAAACCCTCATTTAGTCTATCTCTTTCATTTCTTCTGTCTAAGAGCACAATAGTGAAGTGGTGGTGAAAGACAAAATGCTCCTATTTCCTGCCCTATATTTCATTTCAAAGAGCCTTCCCTCCTCATTGCTATGGCTAGGAGTTGTTGAAGTAAACCAATTTGTTCTCTTCCACAATTAAATTATTTTATTTCTTATCACTATATTATGTGTGTTTTCGGGTTTTCAACTTATATGTAATAGAAAAACCTTTGTTTTCCATAAAATTGTCTCCCTGTTTTTTTTGGTGATCAAGTAAATTAGTCTTCCTGTTTCATTGAAAATACATGATATGAGGTTTTACTCATATTGTGTCAGAGGAATGCATATGTCATCATGATGTCGTAATCAATGAGGAGTGGAAGCATTCTTAGATTGTTTCCATTATACAATAAAAAGTAGAAGTATAGATATCTTAAAAGGTCTGTGTGTAAGTGTAATTGGTGACAAGATCTTGCAACATTTTGTGCATGCCATTTGAGGAGTAGATTGAACCAGTTTCAAAGAGACAAAATGAGAAAATTTCCTTTCGTTTTTTCTTTGGGGGGTGGCGGGGGGGGGGGGGTGGGGGGGGGAGCTAAGGTTATTACAAATAAACTATAAGAGGAAATATCTTGCAAGTTAGAGTATAAGTGTATGCATAAAGAAAACATATGTGAATAACAATTTATGCTAGTTTGGAGAAGAGAAGTTGGCCCTCATGGAATTTGTGAAAATGTGTATTTACTAGTATAAAATAATTATTAGGATTTGAAGAAAAACATTTTAATGTTAAAAAGTTGAACTGAGCCGATCAGTATTTAATTGGAACAAAAGAAGAAAAAGCCTCGAAACAACAAAGCTTTACTGAACTTCTTGATTCAATTTGATACTAATATTCGTGTACAAAAACATATATAGCGCTCTCCCAAAAGATAAGACAATTATTGACATGGAAAAAAACGAGGATCATGGACCATTAAGCAGTTTCAAGACTAGACCAAGACCAAAATGATATATCAATTAAATGATGACTAATCTAGAACCTCCAAAATTTGACCCTAAGGCAAAATTAAGAACAGCACCTATCCACTTCCTTTTCCTTTTACATTTTCCTTATTTTATATAAGCAAATACGAGATGAGTTTTGATGTTTAATTCGCCTTGGGGGCAGGCCAATTCTAAGTCCATTGAAAGGAAATAAAAAAGCATTGGAGAAAATATAATTCCATGGAATTAGTTGAGATGCATGCAAGCTGGTCCGAATACCACGGTTATCAAAAAAATAAAAATCTAGTAGACTATATATGGAGGTGGAGGGTGCGTGACCTCTGCCAATGCATCCTGCTATTGGTCTGGTCCTGCATCTTTTGATGATTTCTTCGTCTTTATTTGTAAGTTCTGCTGTTTCTTGGAATTTTTTGTTATGCATTCAGTCCACTAGAGAAAGCACAGTTGCTTGTACCTTCTGCATAATTGTGATTTCTCTTTGGCTACAAATGTATTTTGTTTTACATGTCACCAGGAAAATGTGCAAATAGATTGCTCGCATCATCAGGCTTACCTCTCATTGCAAGACAAATGAAGGTATGGGCAAATATTAGCTGGGCTTCTCAAATCAATGCATATGTAACTTAATTCTCTTCTTCTTTCCTGTTTTATTATTTCAATTAATGATTTTGTTTTTGATAATCTTTCTCAGAGACTTGAACTCAGTCCTATATGGGCTCTTCTTGCTGCATTTGAGGATCCTCTGCCTACTGCTGTAAATGCAGAGTCCCTTCCCTTTGAAGGAGCTTTTGTAAAAGGGGTTGAATCTGTCTCTTGGATGGCAAACAACACTAAGAAACTCTTAGGTAGAGATAGTGGTCCACAATGTTGGACATTTTTCAGCACTGCAACCTTTGGAAAGCAGAACAAAGTCCCTCAGGTCTCTCTTTTGCGACAAATACTTTGAGCTCAAACTATAAATATCTCTAACGGCTTTGTCGTTTGACATTTCACTTTAGCCATAAAATAATGGTGAACTGGGGTAGTTGGTATAGTTGGCAAAATTGGATTTAGTGAGTTATTCATTGATTGAAAGGGACCAGGTAACAGAGTGAAGGTTTTGCATATGCATAGAAAAACCGGCTAATGAGAGTGTTTTAATATTTTTTTCCAACATGCTTAGATCTAACTCTCAACAAACAGTACTATATAGAGGATCATGGGTTAAGAATTAACCATATTTGAAAATCATATTAAAAGCCATTCCATTTGTGATTTGACACACTTTGAAATTGACCAGGATAGGCTAGCTTTGTCTGGCAGTTGACTGTTACTGAACCGCGATTAATAATCTGTTTCTGAAGAAACAAAATGTTGACATGTAAATAAGGGACTATTAATCAAGGTCAGCAAGATATCATATCCTTGTCATAGCAAAACGTCAGCAATCATTCCCATGGTTATGGATGTTACCTGGGTTGGCCAAAGTCCAACGAAATTCCAACAATAAATTTTATGTAGAAATGAAAAATGAATCTAGTTCATCTTTTTCTTTTTTGATCCATCTTGAAATCACCAGTATAGGTCCTAATTGTGCAAGTTAACCTATAAAATCAGTTAGTTTTTCCTCATCATTTACATAATCCAATTTACACTAAAAAGAAACAAAATGTGCTTTGGATTTGATTTCAAAGAGTATTCTTTTCAGCACTAAATCTCCGTTATCACCTCATAAGCTCCAACTCTCTTTAACTAGTCGGTATGCTCTTCTTTCCTTAAGGAATTTCCTCCCTAGATTGACTGGTGTGATGGCTGATCAATGGTTAATTCAGTTGGACTGGCCTGCCTATAAATCATGCTTATTAAATTTGACCCTCAGCAGCTGTACTTGTTTGAAGTTTTGAAGTGTTTCCAATCCTTAAGCTCGTTATGGATTCCTGGTTCTGAGCCATTTTTTAGGGGATGGTTAAATTTTTGTGATTTGTCATAAATTGCTATCTCAGCAACCACATAAAAATTACCTGGACACTGTGGTTGCTGAGGGAACTTTTGAGGCGAAGAATGTATAGATTATTTATGGTGTGTGTGTATGTTGTGTGTGTGTGTGTATTTGTGCACGTACACATTTCACATGTGTAGTGGCGCCATAGGACATATTCATTAATAATCAAATTTTCTTTATCAGGAAAGTATTCCAGCTGCGACGGCAGAGAGAGTGAAGGAAGCTATGCTTGAGGGTGTTGAGAAGGCTCTAGGACTGTCAAAAAGTTCACTCCAAAGGCCATTTTATACCAGATTACAACTATGGTATGAAGATATGTTGACTTATCTAGTCAGAATGTATGCATATTGTCTCAAATGCTTAGTGCATAATGAGAAACTGAAATGAAGCCTATCACATTAGTATTCGTTACTATGGCATAAAAATACGGCACCACTAGCAATTCAAATTAATTCTTATTCGTGACTCATTTAGCACTTCTCACTTTCTTCTAACTGGATCAATGGAATTGAATTTCTGTGACACGCACCAACACTTCAATTATATTACCCTCTCTGAAATGGCAAAATTCTATCTCTTCTCCTACATGTTTTTTGTCTATAATTTTTGGGTGATACTTGATAAAGACTTCTCATCACTGTTATTTATCATAAATTTTCAAATATAATTTCAACGAGGTTATTGGTCCTTCAAATTCACATCTTTTCCATTTCAGTCTAATGCATTCTAATCAACAATTAGTAAACAATTAAGTATAAGTTGGGAGTGGAGTGTGATTAATAGGTGCCTCTCTTCTGAAGCTGAAATTAGCAATGAATGTATATCACTGCATTATAGTTCATGAAGAATGTTGGATATTTTGGAGTTGAAGCTGTTCTCACAAAGAAAACACAAGTTCTGGACAATACTGAAGGTGTTTTATCATAAATGTTGTGCAACCTAGTTGTTCCTGTGATAGGGTGAAAATTAGATTTGAACAGTTGAAGTTGGAGATTCGGCTACAGTTGTTGTCCAAGAAGATGACGTGGTGCTATGCTGAGAAAATGTCTCTATATTCTAAGATCTGTATGTTCTGCTTTGCTGTAGAAATTGAATGCGCCAATCCCGTTAATGCCACTATTCTCTTTCAGTGTTGTCAAAGGCGCGCTTAAGCCTTCTGTGTCACATCAAGGCTCTAAGGCATACTTTTCCTTGCCGAAGAGTGTAATCCTGAAAAGACGACACTAAATAACTGATATTTCATTTTACCACAATTATTTTTCAATTTTTTGTCTGTATATGTGTTATTCATGCTTATAATTATTGATCTTCGACTATATATATATATATATTTACTTTTTCTCCTGTTGCGCCTTTTTTTCATTAAACCCACACTTTATTTGCGCTTTGCGCTTAAAGCCCCAACATACCTTAGAGCTTTTTTGCGCTTTTCGCCTTTGATAACATTGTTCTCTTTTCCTTTTCAGGGTTTTTCTGCTTAGCTTTTTACCAAATCTATTTCAAAAGAAATTCTTTCCTGCTATCCATTAGTCATATTAAATTGGTTTATTTTTCTTTTTTTTGCAGGGGTGCAGCTCTTCCAACCAACACCCCTGGAATTCCATGCATCTTTGATCCTCATGGAAGAGCTGGTATATGTGGTGATTGGCTGCTTGGCTCAAGCTTAGAATCTGCAGCTATAAGTGGCATTGCTCTTGCTGATCATGTAATCCTCAAAAACTTCTGTGTTCTTACTGTCTTTTCCTTCGTATTGACTTACTCTAACTATGATAAAATCGAGATCAGGGTAATATTTTTTTCTTGTTTGCTTCTTTTACGGGGTATTCATCCCATTGATGACCGTGATTTTTTTCTTTTGGTTCAAAATAAATTTTTTATTCAACCAAGCGATACTGACGTGCAAATGACCGTGAAATTTACTATGATGTTTAAAGCTGAAAGGTTATTCCCAAGCTTGTTATATATTTTCGAATGCTGACCGTAGGGCCTTCCTGCAGATTGCAGATTACTTCCAACAAGGTGGACCTTGCTCAGATGAGTTTGCTGTTGGTTTGCACGATGAGTACAAGCCACTTGAAGGACATGATATAGGGCAGTTCCCAGGACTGGAATCTGTTGATCAAACCGGAAAGGCCCCAGCTTTGACACTCACTACATGAATTAATCCTGTAATGAAGTTTTTTGTAAGTTCTTAAGCATTTGTTACATGTAATTCGTGTTTAGTGTCTTTTCACTGTGAACATGTATTATGCTTTCAACAAACATTTGATTAGAAGGGCAGCCCGATGCACAAAGCATCCCGCATTCATGCATGGTCCGGGGAAGGGCTGCACTCATAGGGGTGTGATATAGACAGCCTACCCTAATACAAGCATTAGTGGCTGCAGACCTAAAGGTCACACGGTGACAATGTTACCGTTGCTTCAACAAACATTTGATTCTTTTTCTTTTTTGCTCCGAAGGATGATGATTAGTTGGTAAAGCTAGTGAACAAATTAAGACTCACTACAGAACAACCATTCTGCAACGTCAGTGACAGACTTGAGCTTGAATCATTTTTGCTAGCAGCTCATGAGAAGGTAGCAAATCTTCTGCATACTGGTAGCCTTCAGAAAGATAACTTTTAGAATTTCCAATTGGTGACGACCGTATTCTGCTTTCAGGTTCCAACTCAATACCAGAAATCGAGCCCGAGTAGGATATTCCACCTTCATCTTTTTGTTCAAGAGAAAAGCACTCAGAAGTCAACTACTGATGTCATTTGAATCTCAGTTGGTGAGCAAGTTTATTAAAACCTTGAACTACGGTTCTACAATTTAAAAGAGAAATTTTTGTAGCTTGAATATGCAGTGTGTTGTATATGTACGAGAATTATGAGTACATATAGACGGTTCAGTAGGGCGCCGAGAAGATGATAACTGGCAAGTAGGTAGTTTTTCCGTAGGAAATTGTTCTTGATAATTCTGTGTTTTGGTCAGAATAAGGTCTGCCATTGTTGTGAAGTTTGTGAATGAAAATAGAGTGTTGTTATACTCGAGTCAGACGCTGAAAGTATCATTTCTTGTAAAAGGAATACTTGAAATAACACGAGAATCCAGAATTACATCAAGCAAAGAGAGGTACTTTTGTGTTGTTGGTTACAACTTGCAACAGTGAACATCAAACTAACAAGATCTTCTGCTTTAGTCAAAGTGATCGTTAGCATTATTTTTTAAGAATGAAAAACCGTACTGTAGTACAATTAACTGGTGCATTAGTGTCGTTTAAAATAATACTTGCATTACGAGGATTTATTGTAAATCAAGTATCATCTATTGCGACCAAGTTGGAAGAAGTAAAGAAGAATATTTCCCTCCACTAGTCTTTCAGAGAAAATATTTGGTTGAATGTACTCACTATTATCGAGGCATAACAAAGTCAAGAGATATTGCTTCATTTCAAAACAAAACACAATGGCTCCTATTCCAAAAAAAAAAAAAAAACTAACTACACCCGGTTCAAATAAAATCCTTGAAAAAGAACCGTGGTTTAAAGAAAATGTCTGATATAAGCTAGAGAGGAGATGGTTATTGTTCAATATTAGCAAGGAATGAAGTGACATTACCAATCAAGTGGCATCCATCCATGTAAACCTTTTCAGAATAGAGATACAAACATCAACCATAATTGTATGTCATAAAGCTGAAACCTACTATGTATTGACACAACTTGACAAGACGTGCAAGGCGCCCCGCAGCCTTCCAACGGGAAAGACTTCAACATAAAAGTAAATTTCCGTTCCTCCTGTTCCCGCGGCAGACGTATGCTCGGCTGAAGCTGGATTTAGAAAGGATCAGCAGCGGTGGGCCGGGGCTCTGCGCTCTTTCTTTCTGTGTGGGACGATACCGGGGAGAGAAGGGAATGCGTCGAGGCGGCGAACAAGACAACTACATTTTGGCTTTTCCCTCCATGAGATGAGCCCAGTGCATTAAACCGATAATCACTAAGTAAAATCTTGACTCACACATACCGCGGTGTATTGTTGTCAACTCACATAGTCGCACCTATCAACAACAAGACGACTACTCCCTGCATGCCACCAAAGGGCGCTAAAAGTGACGTTTAGACGAACCATGTCATAATTTTCGACGAGCACGAAATGGTTGGTCCTTCCACAAACAAGTAGCACCTCGTTGAGTGGCTTCTTCACCCGCTATGCTGGCTGAATTGAGTGAGAGCTTATCATTTGATTTATCTTACATACATTCTTAAATATAAGTATGTTATTATCTCTAAGATTCTTATTCCTCTTTTGCCCCTCATGTTCCGCAATTCCATCCAAATGAAAAAAAATATATTTGGAATTAGCGTCGTTTAAGATATTGATACACAAACCATTTAATAGCATAAATTATAAAGGTTATTAGAATAAATTGCTCTTTTAATCTCTCGTCAAATTACTTTTTATCTCAGCAGGCATTTTAAATCATTTATTGGAGTACAAATATATTTGAAAATAGATAATTTTGTCTTTTTGGTTTTCTAAAACACTTAGTGGGCGTTTGGACGTAAGAACTGTAAAATTTCAAAACAGGGTGAAAATTTTCAAGTAAAAATTGTATTTGAAATTTAGAGTTGTGTTGGACATGAATATAATTTTGGGTTGTTTTTGAAGTTTTTTGAGTGAAAATTTTGAAAACAGCTTTTTAAAGTTTTTCAAATTCTCAAAAATTTCCAAAATGCATTGAAAATTTTATAAACAAACGCCGATTTTAGATCAAATTGTTTTGACTAAAGTAACTTAATTTGGAGAGGCAGTACAAAAACTAGAGAAAGAAAAGGACCAATGCCCATAGTCAATGAGTGCTGTAATTAATAAATATTACACCAACACACAAAAAAATTGTAAACCCAAATCCCAATATAATCCCTCCTCCTTGTGACATCCCTCATCCCCCCCTCTCCTTACTTCCCCTGTTTCTCCATCTACATAGTTCTTCACAAACTCCTCAAAATTTCCACAATCCATTTTCACTTTCTTGATCCACAATTCTCAAAATGAGAATCAGAAAACCCACACCCAATTCATCTTCTTCACCTTCCTCTTCATCCCTTTCTTCATCATCTTCTTCTTCCTCATACAGCTTTTCCTCATTAACCAACAATTCTTTAGCTTCATCTACAGATTCATCTTCCTCAGCACCTTCAACTTCAACTTGTACTACTACCAGATGTCAAGGCCTTGATCTGCTTGTTAAGGCAATTCATTTAGTCACTGCTGGCTCTGTTGTGGGTGTTCCTTACATTCAGAAAAGAGTCATTACTAGGAGGAGAAGAAGAATTTTCAGCTTTGATAGTCTTTTTATAGCTGAGATCAAATGTAAAGGCAGTGAATTGCCTAAAAGGCAACAAAGGAAGCAGAGATTGAAAAGTGTTCCTACTAAGTATCAAGATTCTGTGCTGATTCAGTCATCTAAGCCTAAACCCAAAAGCAAAAGACTTCAGAGATCTGCTAATAAGATTTGTGAGCAATTGGGGTCTTGAAAAAAATGGTCTTTTTTAATTTTGATTCTCTTCTTCTTTCAAGATCTTAGATGATCTTTTCTCTTAGAGGTAGTAATTTGCTGCTATATGTTTTTGATATTTTTTGGGGGTATGGGTAATTTTTTGTGTTTCTGGAATTTTTAATATGTTATTAAGTGTATTGAATTTTGGATCAATGAATAGATGGAGAAAAATGAAAATTTTTGGGTATCAGATTCTGATCTGACTTGTGGATCCCTTAGATTTCTTGGTAGCTACTGAAATTTTATACTGTATTAGATTTTGGATTCATAAAATTGGTTTAGTGTTTCAAAGCTGAGATTTTGAAAGATTTTCTTGAATGTTGTTGTATGGTTTTAAGGAACTTTGTAAATGCTAAAGCATTAACTAATTCCATTGCTCATTTCAACTGAAAAAGTTCACAATTGACTTGGTCTGTTCTGTGTAGAGGAGAATGGAGATTGGAGATATTGATCTTATTAGTAGTGAGCAAGTTCATATTTGTGAGCTCATTTCTATGTGGTATAATTCTTGATTTTCTATTCTTGATTCTCACAAAATTGCAGTAATTTGATCCTTTATTCTGATTCATTTGGATGGATTTAGGGTGATGCAGCTTGTCACTCTTTGCTTATTTATGGCTTGCTTAGTTTACTTTTTCGCCTTCATTGATCTTGGATAATGAAGATTTATAATGGCAGATTTTGTTTCTAATAGGTAAACTAAGTGAATTAGTGTAGCATTATGGTTAATTGATTATATATCTTTTCAAATTTGATTCACGTGTGATATGGGGAAGTCCAAGCTGATGTTCAATTCCTAGTAGACTCTGGTATTTGGATTTCTAAAGCTTTACATTCTGAGTTTCTGGCAATGGAACATTTGCTTTTTGCTCAATGTAAAGAGTGTCATTTCTGTTCATACATTATTGGTTGCATTTCCTGGCTTGTTGTTGTTGATATTTACCTGTTTCTGTTCTTCCTCTTGAGTCGAAGGTCTTTTGTAAACAGTAAAGTCTGCGTACACATTAGTCAGACTCCACTTGTGGGATTTCACTGGGTTGTCGTTGTTGTTGTAAAGAGTGTCATTTCTATACTTTCAAATATATTGAAGGAGCTTGAGATGGAATAGGTTTGAGGAGTGAGTCATGCCTGAACCAGCTGCTCCTGGCAAATCAGTCACGCCTCTACCACTAAGCACTTGTCTTTATTATAACGATAGTGTCTGGGGAGCTTGCATGCAATTCGACTATTTCATCGCCTACTATCTCCTACTAATCAAGGTAACTCGTATGCATTAATATTTATGATTTTTTTAAATATTTGCTCTGAATTGAGTCCCCGGTATCCATGATCTTTATCCCACCTCATTGACCGTTGGGTCGGACTTTGGGTGCCCTCAATTGCCTTCTTTTTTCTTGGCAAGCACTTTGTTAAAATGAACAGATTTTATATAAGCTGGTGCTGATCCAGCCAGATGGATTGGCATACATCAAATGGAATGCGAGTCAATTGAGTAATGCCGATACTTATACTGGTGGAGATAGCATGCACCGATGAATAACTAAATCAACATACGAACAAGCTGACACAGACACCACTGCAACTAAAAGAATGACTTAATTGAGTTAATGGCTACCCAAGAAGAATTTTTTTGTAATAGCATACATCCCATCCTTGATGGTAGAGATCAAACCAAAAAAATTAAACTTTTATAATGGGCAACAACATATAGACGCTTGAATGAATTTGCACCTTTGAATATTTTTTGAGTATGTTTAATCTCCTTATTAAAACCTTAAATTACTATGCCATTACTCTCAGGAATGATGATACTGGTAAGAACTTCCATATTTTGCATAATGTTGAGCCATCTAGTTCACAACATACTCAACTGTAGCATCTGTAACTGTAAGCAGTTGTGCTTTGGGCCTCTCTGGTTCTCTCTTTGGGCCTTTGCCAGTGGAGCCCATATTGAGGGAAGGGCTTGAAATTGTCCAAGTGGTCAATGGTGCAACTCTTTAGGATCTTTACGCAAATAGGTGGCCAAATTTACCGTTTACTTCTTTTAGCCATATACATTAAGTATATACGATTATACACATATAAGGGCTTTTACTTTTAGCCGGCGCCAGAAACTATTTACATTTGGTAGCCGAAAAGGTATATAAAATTTGTATAATTTTTGTATATAACATACAAAATAAAATATTATATATATATATATATATATTTTGAGAGCGGCTATATTGTGTTATTTTCCTCACATAAAATATTTTGAGAGCGGCTATATATATATATATATATATATATATATATATATATATATATATATATATTTTCAGCTATTATTTTGAGAGCGGCTATACTGTGTTATTTTCCTCACATATAATATATAAATTATGTATATATAATACCTACACCAGCTATTTTTAGGGTGGGCGCTTACTTGAGTTAATTGGTTAGTCCATATTTAGGCTCAAAATGGCTTTCAAAATTTCTAAGCTTCACGAGCAAAGTACATAATTTCCAGTGATGGTTCGGCTTTGATTTTTATTACAAAGACTCTCCGGAAAAATAAAATTTTGTAAG